GGTTAGAGATGTCACTAACCACATCTAAGAAATAGGAAAGTTTATTAGTGGAAGGCAGATTTAATGTCTGGTTTTCAGTGTTATTAAAGTTCAGTTAATGTTAGGGTTATCACGGAATTCAGTGATATCAACTTGTTCTTACAAATAATTGTTTCAGTTCTTGTTCAGTATAATGAAGTTTAAGTACGTTTTTGCTTGATGCAAGTCCAAATTCAGTTGTTGTCACAGTAAAGTGGAATTTGATCAATTCAGTAACTTCCATTAACATAGTATCTTACAATGAATCTACAACTTATGTTTGTTTTAAATTTCATCACAACATCAATCACTTTTAAGTTTTACAAAGAAAGCTGCCATGAAAGTTCTGGCTGTCTAAACACAAATACATAGTATTATACTTAAAACAGCACTAAACATCTTATACATTCATGTCATCTTTAAAGTGAATTATCCCATATATGCATGTGTCAATCCTTCTTTGAAATAGATCAATTTCTTCAAGACACTTTCAAGATAAATATTTTTCCTTATTTTAACAGCTTTTGCTAAAACAAACCTACAGTAATTTGAAATATATTGTCCACATACTATTATCAAACTGTTTGAATATCTTAAAGAACAAGAGCTGTAATGCTTATATCCAGTTTTAAATTGTTAGCTAGTAGAGAAATATGCATTATGTAGGTTATGCAAGTCACATTTCTAACAAGATACACTGTGAAAACAGCTAATTCTGCTTGAATAACACAGTACAGTAAGTTTGTGAAATCAGACCTTTTATTCGTTAATATGACAAAGTTTCATTATTTACCACAGTTCTGAAAGTTCTTTTTTTTTACATGATTTAAATTTGTTTATCAGATCCATCTGGACTTATTTATATAGTTTTAAAATCCCACTTGTCCATCACTAGTTATCAAGGTCACTATTTTCTTCTTTAACACTAAAAAGATCTCTCTGTCTGTTTTCATTCTTTTAACTGTACATGAAATGTTCATATATATAATAATTAGCAAAGATTGAAAATTACCAATGGTAGGAGGGTTGAATGAGCAAGCACCAAAAGTACTCGATGAAACCCAGCTAGCTATATATGTAGTGGCATAGCAACTCAGTCAAAATTATGCATGAAAGCACCAATTCCGTTTCTGTTGCTACCTCATCTGCTTTGGTATATTTCTACTTTAAAACACTGATACTTACCAAGAGAGTTTTCCTCACTTGTATCTTCACCAGAACTATCCTCCTCGTGATCTTCACTACTGTGACTATGGGTTTCAGCCAATGTAAAGTTATAAGGATACTGATTTACAGTCTGATTCTGCTGATGCTTGACTTTCTGTTCCTTTATTGGTTCCTGCATTTCTGGACTACCAAGACAGACTTGTGAAAAGTGGGGATATTCTTCCTATATAGGAAGTGAAAATTAAAAGTGTACCACGAAGGATAAGACTATATTGTAATAAATTCAACTGTATTTCAAGTCAGTAGATATTCTGTTACTTAGATGAACCCTAAATTCCAAAATTGTGTTGTCCAAAATGCAATATACTATGCATTTCCTTTGAATACTACAATGTACACATTACATAGTTGTTCAGGCACAAGTGCCTGTACACAAGTTCACTCACACAGTAAAATAAATTTGACTTCCTGTGCTTCAAGTTTCTCCTTTCAGAATGACAAAGTTCTGGTTGATATAGATTTAGCCTTTCTAATTGTTTTTTTTCTTTATGTGCAGAAGTTTCACCAATTTGATCATAGAGGTATTAGTTTAAAAAATAAAAATAATAAAAATTTGCTTTCCCTATGAATATATTATTTTCATACAAGTTGACATTTTCACATATCAAGCACAAACCTATTTCAATTTAAATAACAGTGTGTAATCTACGGTATATTACAATTGTTGGTATACAGTGAAAAACCTTAAATCAAATTCAACATTTCAAAAGCAAACAGTATTTATAATATGATTGTTTAAAATTGAACATCTATCAAATGTATGAAATCAATTGTACAAATTCTTTCATACAACTAACCAACAAATATATTTAAGGGTACTTTTTAAACCAAGAATGTACTACAATATTTTTCAGGTATAAAGACAGAATTTTATACTTAAAAACACCTAAAGTAATATATGTTTAAGTGTCCTAGATGTAATTCTAGGTATACAGACTCAACCACTAGACAGATGGAAACACACATTAGGAACATGCAAATTAATGATGAATAACAAACTAGTATACAAGATCATGCATTTGGCAAACATCACATAGTCATACATCAGAGCATGTTTAAAATAATTATTAAAAGTCATGATGAGACAAGTTTGCATGTAAATGAGGCATTACTGATTAACAAACTAAGGCCAAGGCTCAACAGCAGCTAAACTGTGGATGAGGGTAATGTTTAGGTTTTGTTATAAAACATAAAATAATTTAAATCTAATTTCTACAACTGAAAATTGTTCACGACTGAATCATATGTAACAAATGTTAAAATGGTTTTTAAATTTTTAAAACACTTAATTTGGATAATTTTTGAAAGTTGATACTTAAATCATATTATCTCTATGGTTTTTGGTTACCTTTCTGTATTTTTATAAGGCTTTTTACCTCACAACTACAAGCTAAAATACACTACTTCCCCTTAACAATAATATTTTTGAATGATGTCACACCAGGACTTCTCTTCATTGTTTTTGGGATAATACAATTTTTGGAGCAATTAATTTGAGTCAGAAATGTATGTACTTTATAGGTTAAGATACATACAAGTATCCATAACACAATTGTATTCAGTATAGATTTACTGTGATACACAAAAGTGAAACAAATTATAGTTGAGTTTAACACATCACTACCAAAAATCCACACTTTCTTTGGTGGTTAAAAATGTGTTGTTTTAAATTTTACCAAATCCATTAGCTTTATGTGATAAATTTGGTTAAGTAAAAATTTCATGCAAATACTGCTAAGTACACTGTAGTCATAAAATTAATTTCAATGGCTTGAAACAAATATTGATGGCTTAATCTAATAAGCTGTATTATATACAATATAGTACATAGTGTAAGGCTAAATTTTGCATCTATTCATTTTTGCTTTAGTGTAAAGACTTTGGTAATGCTATAGCTAAGAAAACCAGCTGGTTATTAGGAAGTTATTTTTATAAAAATGTTAGAATTTCTACAGAACAACTTTTTAACTTATTCATGCTTCAGGTAAATAGTTGTTCTTGATGGTAGGCTTAACACCTAGATTTTTTTTCATACATGTGCTCTATAAAACACTTACCTTCTTCGATTGACTATAAAACTTTGTGGTTTGCTGAGCCAACTTACTGAACTTTCTCCTTCTCAAACTTTCCCTAAAGTAACAATAGTAACAATGATATAACACAATTTTAATGGTAAATCATCACAGAAACTTGTTTGTACAAAATTCTCAGATCAAAAACATGTGGTTGTGTGTCTAAATGAAAATTTATCTTTCAAACAAACAGAATAATATCAGTTTCTCTTCTTGACTACCCCATTTTGTTTCAAATATTAGAATGATACAGTTTATGTATTAGACTATTGTAAACCACAAATCCCAAAATATAATTTTTGATATATGAGATGTTATAATTTTCCTACACTGAAAATGTATTTCCAAAAGATACTTACTTCCTCTCATACACATAGCTATTCTCGTTCAGTGCTGCCCTCTATTTGCAAACATTATTTGCATGCCACAAGCCTTTCACTCCCATGCACTCCTTGATTTATATGGTTTAACTGATTCTCTCATGCAAATTATGATACAACAAACATCCACCAATAGCAGTGCCACACACCCACGTGACTCCCTCTGTGCTATTCTACCTAACTACCACTTCGAATTTAGGCAGAAACATAAGCACTGGTTAACAGTGGGGAGGAAGGGTGGTTAGTGTATAAGCCAACACCATCGAATGGTTGGTCAAATCCGGACAACAGGAAGAAAGTGAACTAAAGCAAGTTGGACTGCCAAAAGTGTCAGGGTATTAACATGGTAAGATATTTCATCCTGAAGCCTTCTGCTGATCAACTCGCGCCCCAAACTTCAGAGATAAGTGTCAGGAAATAGAAACAAATCAGAACAAGGGGAAGGAATCAGTAAACCCGACAATGTGGGAGATATGTTCAATCACCAATGCATATATAGTGAAAGAGGGAAGGAAGTTAAGAATAGAATCCAAAGGAACCATCGCGAGAGACCATGGGTCATGCTGTGTCTGAAAAAATTGCAAGTTTCCCAGATCCAAAGGGAGAAATGCTTCTAGAGAAACCACATCCCACCAATGCATTAGAGCCTTGCTAGCAGTAAGACAGTGAACCGCAATGGTGTGTACAACAGAAAGCTCAATCGAATGCATTTGAGGTGGAGAATGGATGGTCCCAACAGAGGTGGGTGTTTAAAAAGACACTTCTCAAATAGCTGAGATTGTTAGGTAGATAACAGGAAAACTTATACAACAGGAAAATCCAACCACCTGAGCTGCTTGTGTAAGAAGCAGATGATTATGTTATGAAAACCCCCATACGGAAGGAGCTAACCAAAGCCTGAGGTCCAAGTAGTGGTGTTAGTAAAATCCCCCAAAATGCAGAAGTCGGATAAAACACAGACCACCTGACAAAAGACCTACAGAACCAAAACAAGTCCGAAGGGCAAGGCATGAAACTGGTACTGAATCATGTGGTGAAAAAAAAACAAGACAGTGTTACAAGAAATGAAAAATAAGAGTGTGTACCCTGACCATTCTCAATCCTGCAGAAATTGCCCATCTGATTGTGATCAAAGATTACATATGAACAATGAGGAAGAACTAAGAAATGATTGACCAATTGAACCACAATGCCAATCAACATCAAGGGACAGGTAAAGGATGGAAAGGTGCCAGACATGGAACATGAATAAAGATGGCAATGAATCAGAATGAAACAAATGACACAAAAAAAAAATAGAATATAGCATCACAGTTACCCATGTGATGTTAATTTCAGAGGATTAGCCCCCCCAAAAAATAGCCAATTTTAAGTCCCTATTAGAAGTGGATGGTAAACAAACAGTACAAAACAGTGTCCCACCCCCAGAAGATCCCAAAAGCAAAGAAGCCACGTATAGAGGGAAGGAATTGAAGATGGCAAACACCCCAACATGGAGGTATCCCACAAAAATCCCCTAGATATAGGTGTAACGGCCAAGAAAGGAAGTGTAAGGTACACATTTCCTGTAGGAGAGTCAATAGGGTAAGACAAAGCTAGAAAACTAGGTGGGAGATAAAATTGATAGGATTAACAGAGACTACCCCCATACAGGCAACAAAGATTCTAAGAAGAAAATCTGCCTGATGGTAAGCTAAGGCAAATTGAACCAAAGTCTGTGGAGGGTGAGGCATGCAAGTATCCTCTCCCCCCCCCAAAAAAAAGAGACAAAAATGCTCATCATAAACATAATGTCTGGACAAGGGGAAAAATAAACATGAAACATGTCTAAATAATGGTGAGGTAGGCCAAGATGATTCCACAATACAGGCCTGGGAAGGCAAGCCATAATCAGGTGGAGGAAAAATGACAAAATCTAGGTCATCTTAAATGGGTTCAGCAGTTGAAGGAGGAAGGCGAGCAATATCATGAGAAGGTTGGGCAAACCCCAGTACCCATGGGTTCACACAAACTAAATTAGTTATAAAAAAGTATAAATTATGAAGAATTATGAAAAAAAGAAAAGTCGATATAATGTAAACTTAAGTAAGTTTGTAGTGAAATAAATATATGTATTAGATGTTATGTGTTGAAGAAAACAAGATACTAAACCTAATGATTGATTTACCCATAAGATGAACTACAGGTAAACCAAAAATAGCAGACACTTCTTAAGCCTAATTAAACTGAGCAGGACAAAATATATCACTAAGCTCTAATTTAAAAACCCTAACCTAACAATAATACGTACAAAAACCATAACCCTATAATGCCTTATCTTTCCAAAGTCGATGGACCATATTTCAAAATGTTTGAGCCTTGAAACTCGAGTCAAGGCCCAATAAAAGTCAGCTCCTTGGATGATCAATTTCCCAACAAAGCCAATAATTTCCTAGTCAAGGACCACCATCTGAACCCTGTGTAAATGTGCTGATATAAAAAATGTTTTACAAGTAGAGGGTAGCACTGAATAAGAAGAGCTATGTATATGTGAGTGGAAGTAATGTACTTTGTCGGAATAAGTCTTTTTATATAACAAAATAAAAAGTAGAATAAACTGCTCCTTCAAATGACTATATTTAGTAATTATAAAGCAAATATCAATAAAATTATTGTAAATCAAATTTAAAGTTCAGAAAATGGTGGTTGAAAAATTCTAGTGCAAATAATATTGAAAACCAAAACAATAACTATTCAAATACAATTTACACATTTTATTGTGTCCCAAAATTTTATGTTGAAGATTTTTACAAGCATAAATGAACTAATATTTTACTAGTTTTATATCATTATCATTGTCAATTTAATGTGTATCATAATTTAATCACTAATATCATCAGCAGCCCTTCGCGAGTGAAGACAACGTCTCCTACAGTGAATGTGTTCTCGTGATTGAACAGCCCAATCGGGATTTACATAGTTTGGAACACTTCTGGCAGATAGTGCTCGGATGAAGATGTTGTTGCAAAGAAGGGTTGGTTTCTTTCTCTTTCCTCTGCTGTCGCTTCTGCTTCTCATTTTCCTGTCAATCAGTTTCGAATGTTTCTGTCACAAGATGGATTAGATGATGTCAAAGAGAATGGTCAGATGCATCTTCCTTCAATATGTCCAAGCTTCAAACGACCATCTAATACCTGCTGCCTACATTCAGAGTTGTGACTGAGGACTTCTAGGTTGCTGCAGGACTTGTTTATGACCCAGGAGAAGCCTGTGTGTGACCTCTTTTAGTGTGGGGATAGCAGGGCACAAATGCTAACATATACACCAATTACTAAAAAAAAAAAAAAACAAGGTAGCACACACATCTCTATGTAATAATAAACCAATGTTAACATACAATAATAATGTTTATAATTATGGATTTCATAAGTGGAACACTCAAAAATTAAATGCAACACCTATATATGTGTGTGTGTATAGCAATACTGCAGTTTCATTACTAAAAATATTCATGTGCTTGTTATGAATCCATAAATATTTTGATTATAAGGTTGTATTCATGTTTTCTTAAATACTGTAAAACTTATTAAGACAATTTTTTATGAATATGTGAATGATCTACAAGTATACCTTGTAAAACAGACTAAAGGCCAACAATGCCTCTTGATATAAATACCTTATATATATTTCATTAAGCAATAAACATTTAATGATGTTATCATATAACAAACTTTTACCAAGACCTAAAAAAACTTTATTTTCAAAAACAAGTAAATTCACAAAACATTACTCTAGAACTACTGACCGGAAAAACACGAACACACACACACACACATATATATATATATATATATATATTACAGTATTATCAAAAATCTTTTATATTCAATTATTAATATATCTTTATTATAAAATGATAAGATGTAGCAATAATGCTTTTGGATTAAGTCCACATGCTGTTTAATGTAAAAGCAAAGCTATTATGATTTATATCAACTGGTTAAAAAAAAAGCCATGAATAAAAGAAAACAGTGTACACTTTCTTATTATCAGAGATAAAAATTTCTATATGCTTATATTTCAAAACTGAGTAAAAGATACTGCTGACTTATTGAGGATGTAAACAGCCCCTGTAGATAATGCTTTTCCTTCTCGTATATTTATCATACAGTAAAATTATTCCTTTAAAAATAATAAGAACTCCAAAATTACATTCACAAAGAAAACAAAGCATGAAGTTGGAAGCTAAAAACAGAAACCACTGTTTTCTAACAAAAATAAACAATTTATGAAATACTTGAATGGTAAATAGTATATTTTTAGCTGCACTGAAAGGTAAAATATTTTAAGATGCCAGTTTTTTTTAACACAAACTACCAACTTTTAACTTTGGTTTACATGACTAAAAGTAATGTACTTTCTGATCCTTCAAAATCAATCTTAGGCCTCAGCTTGGGAATGAGCAAGATCTCTTTTATTTGGAGGCTCGTTTTCATCGCTGGCCCTTGCTAAGATTTGAAACACATCAAAATTGACAGCAATGTCACAGTCACCTACCACATGTTCTAGTACAATTGAATTGATAAGGGATTTTAGGTTAGTATGCTCATTAACTTGCTTTAACATTTTTCTTTTAGCAGACCAAATATAGCTTTGCTGACATCAGGAACAAGTACATTTATAAACTACATACAATGATTTTAAAGTAGGAATACAGTTCTTAAATATAAATAAAACTGTAGGCAATAATTCAGTTTAAATGCACATCTTAGTTGTAACTACAGATATATTCTATCAATAACAATAATTGGTTTTTAATAAGTAAAGTTTACCCATGTATGGTGAGATGGTAATAAAATAGATATTTAGGAACTTCAAATAACGTTTTACTATAACTTTGATTATTCAAATAACTACAAAGTATTCTATCTATGACATAAAAGGGAAAATAATTTTTATGTAAGAATTCTTTGATGTTATTAACTTCTTTCTAGAAAACCTCATATATGTTAGATATTTTATATGTACAATGTAACAAAATGTTGACTAAATTTTCTTTAAAAATATTTGCAACAAAACTTTCAAAAATACAGTATGAGTCAGTACAAATTATCACTTATAATCTAACAAATACATAGGTATTTCAAACGAAAGTATAATAATAATGTATTGCAACTAATTAATGCATTAACAGTCTGTAGGGCATATTACACACCAAATTTTGGTCACATAGATTTCAAACATCTTTCTTGTATGTGTACAATTAAGTTTCCTACAGGATAGTGAAGTAAAATTAAAATGTTCATATTGGATACTACGGTATACTGCTTATTATAAATCTTAACTTAAACAATACAGAAAAATTAACCAGATAATACATGTAAAGATGAACATTCACCTAACATTACCATTAAATAATTGTTAAAAGTTAAAATGTTAAATGCACTGTTTATCTACACTTGCACGTCACAACACAGCATTGGCTTAAAAAACAACTTTCCCACACTGACCACAAATTGGAAATTTATCCACATTTTAACCCATTAGGGATCTTTCTATACGTATGAAAGCATCACATTTTCATAACAAATAGAACAATCTTAGATGTTTCAGATTACAAAGCTGAAAACCATAAAAGCCTAGCAATTCATCTCTTATAACATCTAACAGTAGAAGATCCTATTAAGTTTTATTTTTGATTTTTTAACCATCGCAAAGAAGAGGGCTCGACAGAATAAGAGTAAGATGTTTAAGCCTTTAACTAGTTTGAAATCTTGTTTCGAAATGAATACGAAAAAATGCCAAGTTTTAGTTAGTATTACATACTGCTAGTGATATACATTTTGCAGTATTTCATTAAGTTTTCAAAATGTGCAGGACTTTTTTTTTTACTATTATTCTGCCTCAATCACATAACTTAATAAAAGTAAAAAGTGTTTTATAAATCTTTTATTTTCTCACTGTTTAGTTTTAGTTCATAAAAGTGCTTATAAGACCAACTGAATTGGAATAAAAGAGAATATGTGTGCTTCTTATGGATTTACCCTATGTGTACCAGTGGCAACCCACAGTCTCCTCTAACAAGCTCCCCCCCCTCCAAAAAATTCTTGCTTTATATAGCTCGAAAAATGCAATTTTCGTCAATGAGACCTTGCCTTTTTAACGTCTCTGCACATTACTGTACGACAATACACACAGCACTTAGTAACTTATTTTTGCACTTCAATTAATACTTTAAGTTGTAAAAAAAAGCCAGACAAGTTCTGACAATGCTAAAATGTCCCTGTGACAGTGACTAACAACAAGCAAATTGTGGAAATGCTAATGCTTACATTTATTCTTACTACAAACTAAGAGAAGTTAAGAGTGACATGTTTAATTCATTTACTGAGATGATTTATATTACCTGTTATTACAAAATGAACTTTGTTTTGTCACATGTAGCATCATATACTACACAGGCATATAATTTATAAATAGCATTTCAATTTTTCTGGGCTGTAGCCCTAACTGCCCTTAAAAATAAAAGGCACCGGTAATGACTAAAATGCTTAAACTGCTCAAAAGATTGATATTATTTTCAAATATTCTGTGGAAACAGCAGGCTTTCTATGAACTCTATGTTATATGTAATGTATTTCATAATACTGGATTGGTAGTGCTGAAGCTATCATGCTTGTCAACTGATGCAAGCATACTATTATAAGCATTTTCTCTAGACTGCAATTTGCAAAATGTAAAAAAAGTTAAACTTCAGAATTAACAGATCCAAAGTAAATGCCAACAAGAAAAGCAGCTTCCTGAGAAAAAAGTTTGTCAACTTATATGAAGCTAATTAATGCTTACCAATATATTATAAGAATAAGAGTCTGCAAGATAAGTTAATGTGCCAATTAAGCTTGTACATGTATTATCAAAGTTGCAAAGGAAAAAAAAACTACTGGTTTAATAGTTTAACTTTTTAATATACATATTTTTTACTTTCAAGTTTAATAATATGAAAGTGATTTATCATTTAGCATTACTATCTCCAAAGACTAAAATTAATAATGTACCTTGCAAGTTGGATGGCTTTGTAAATCCCCAAATGTTTATGATACTTTTTTTATATACTGACAATGTTATCTTTTTTTAATTCTATCTTATTTATTTATGTCATTAACAGGCATTTACAATGTTCATATATGTAATGTAATGCGTTCGCTGCTAACATTTATCATTAGGCCTCAAGGCCAATTTTTTTAGTTATTTATTTACAAGCTGAAAAAGCTATCAACTGATGGGGAATGTTTAAACTTAATTAAACAATGCAAGTTTATCAGCAATCATATATTTCAAAGCAATAACTTGAACATAAACTTTATCTCAAAATTTTAAAATTATAACAAAGCTTCTTCATAAACATTTTTCAGTTTGCTCTCCATCTACCAACAAATAAAGATTTTGAGATGAAGTAGGAAGAGTTATGGTGCAAACAAACACACATTTCATTTTTATATAACATATACAGATTAAACATTCAATTTTTAAAGTTGCTAAATGATAGTGTCAGCAACAAGGCTACATAAATTTTTTCTCTTTTTGCCCATTTCAGGCATGATGAGTGGAATTTACAACCACCTAAGCAAAGACTGTAATTGTAAAGAAAAACCAAACAGTGAACACTTCAGAATAATAGACTCAGCGAAAGATGAATGGAGACTAAGAAAAAAGGAAGCACTCCTAATTTGTAACCTACAATCTAGGCTGAACAATCAACTAGCAACGTCACTGCATCTCAAAGTCAAACTGTGATCTACTCAACATGCCCGAGATGAGCAGAGTGAAAACATCCAAGAAACAAGGCAACACTTCATATATTAAAATGTTAAACTAAAGCCTTGCCACTGTTGTTAACTCCACAAAACTACTAATACTAATATTACTACATTGACACTGTAGCTCTACCAATGGCATTAAATTTATAGTTATTTATTTCCGCAAAACTACTTCATATAAATTATAATACAAATGAAAAATATGTGTCACATAAGACAACTTATATAACTTACGCATTTATTTTGTGGTTGAAGAGTCAGCGCATACATACATGGGCGTAGGCCTACTAGTATTACTATCAGTAATACTAATAGTAATATTAATATAGTACAATTTACAAATAAAAGTATTATTAGTGTTACTCTTAATACTATTAGTATTACACACCATCCAATGTTCGGTACACCTCGTTCCTACTACTAGAACATAAGCGTTCGCGATCTCAATTTATGTTTCAAAAATTAAATAGTTTAAACTTTGTGTTAGTTTAAAACTGGTTTGAATGTTATTTTTGTTTCCCTACAAAATTTGTATCTTACAAGTTAAATAACACACACAATCACTGTACATTAGTTTTACTGAACAAATTTTGTTTTAAATGTGCTGTCGTTTTATCCTATAATTCTGAAAAATAATTAATAGTACTAACACTATAGGCTCTTGTAATATTAAATAGTTCCCTCAGTGAATTTACATTTATATCAACTTTTCAGAATTTTTAAAGAATACGTTTAGTTATACAGTAAAATACCCTGATTTAAACTATACATTAACGTTATATATATATATATGCCCCCCAGTGGCACAGCGGCATGTCTGCGGATTTACAACGCTAGAATCCGGGTTTCGATACCCGTGGTGGGCAGAGCACAGATACCCCATTATGTAGCTTTGTGCTTAATTAAAAACAAACATTATATATATATATTGTTGTTTACAATGTAAATATTTTCACAGAATAAACCAATCGTCGGATAAATTATCTTACAAACCACACAATACAAAATTTAGTTCACATAATGTAAAATATAATTTTCATGAACCAGACTTGTAAATAAGCGTTTAATGTATCGCACAGTACCATAAGTAGTAATACCCGATACAGAATTAGGTTTATAGCTCTCTAATGGCTCAACGGAAAGTTTGCATGCATAGAATTCCAAAAGCTGGCTTGAGATATCTGTTGTGGGCAGAGTACAGATAGCTCATTGTGTACCTTTGTGCTTAACAACACGCCAACTAAGTTTGTAATTTTTTCTTTCACAGGTTTATCAGTGCTATTTACCATTCGGTAGATAGATAGGTAAATTATAAACTGCTAATGGTTTAGACCAAGGTGTACAAAACAACTTGTTTGATATTACACTTTGTTTTCCAACTAACGCGCTTTCCGTTTTCGGTGTTCCAGATGTAAAGTTAAGAAAAATTGTGATATTAAATAGTTGTTTCAGTGAATTTACATTGATATCAACTTTTCAAAATTAAAAAAAAAAAAACGTTTAGATATACAGTAAAGTACCCTGATTTAAACTATACATGAACGTTATAATGGTATTCATTCTAGCCACTTTCCTATTGAGGCACTTTTGTGGTTACTTAACTTTCAAGAATGGACCCTTGGTTAAACATTGGGACGAGTCATGCACCCGGGGCAAAAAGAAGTAAACATAGTTAAATGCATAAGCAGAAATTAAAGAATAGGTAAAAAAATCGCCAAGTTGTTTTTTTAAAAACATGTATTTTCATTTCTAGAAGATAACGTTACAAGTTATCGCTTGTTTAGTGGTAATGTTTCTTGCATGACAGACATGATGAAAATCATCAGGAAACTTGGTAACCTTTTATAAGTCACTTGATCCTCCCGCTTTTACCCCAGCCAGAGGCGTCACTTGGTACTTAAAAGATTCGGGGCTCAGGCTCATATGCTCAGAAATTCTCGGTGTTTCAGTATGATATCGGTCATGGTTTCCTATTTTGGTTTTTCAAGACACCAACTGGGGATTCGGGGCATTGTCAAAGAGAATCGGGACATAGGCCCTGTGTGCCAGTACCTATAGCAACGCTTCTGACACCAGCAAGAGAATACGCTTTATCATAGCTATGACCTACACACATATCCATATTCAAGGCAATTTTAGTAGTTTTCATAATTAAATGCCACCAAGTGTTTCACCATATAATTCTATTTCTCTTTCTGGGTACTGCATCTATTGCAGTATTTATGCTTTTGAAAGAGCATCAGCTATGTAAAATCGGTCTTCGTGCAGCATATCAATATACTTATTTAAACCAACTGCTCTACAGTCTATCCTCCTGCGGATTCTTCTGCAAGTATACTTAGCTTAAAATCATAAATAATATTCAACGTTAAACTGGTATACAATTAAAACATTTTATTTA